GTTCTCTCCTGTCAAGTATGCACCATGATGGCAGCATCGGCGGGGAGACCAGAAAAGCAGAAATCAACGACTTTTACAACAAAACAAAGGGCGATGTGGACTCTCTGGACCAGATGGTCCATGCATACATGTAAAAGAGGCAGACCGTGAGATGGCCTCTGACCTTCTTCTTCAATCTGTTGGATGTTGCAGCTATTGCTGCTTACATCTGCTTCACTGCTCAAAATCCCCAGTGGAATATCCGCAAGAAACACAGGAGAAAAATCTTCCTCGAGATGTTGGGTGATGAGCTCTGCTTGCCATACATACAATGCCGGGCTGCCACTGAGAACATCCCTAAGTCAGCTCGTATGAGCATACTTCTCTGTGGTGTCACACCACTTACCCAAACCCAAGAAGCAAGAGCACTGGCCACTAAACATGGGCAAAGAAAGAGAAAACGATGTGGACTTCATCAGAGAAACAAGGACAGAATATCTTGTGAAATATCAGTTTGTGGTTCCAAGCACGTTTGTCTTCACTGTCAGTAGACACTCGTATTCCGAGCACTTGTTTCCTGGTCTTCGGTGCCAGTACTGGTACCAAGTTATTATATATGTACCACACTATTTTGGCGTCTTCCTAATAATCATTTACCGTAATTAAGTCTTCTTGGGCATTTTCATGAGATTCATTTTTAACTGAAGAACTACCACATCATCATTTAAATTTAATCTCATTATTCAGCAATAAAAACAGCATGCTCATGACATGACCGGCCCACAATCATTAGGAAAAAAAGTGCCAGAATTGCATTGATTTCTTCAGTCTAACCTCATTCAAAGTTGTTCACCAACTAATATATGATACATAAAGTTTAATAAATGTGTTCGTTAAACAGATTATTTCTGTATGTGTAGTCTTAGGTGCTTTGTTTCAACGTTTCTGTGTTTAAGTTTCTGTAAATGATGATCAACCACCAAGTTTATCCATAAAATACAAAGGATAAATAGTGGGGTCTGAGAGGCCCCCTTACAGGCTTCTAGGGAAATCGGACCATCCAGAAGACTAGGGTTAAAATCACTTGTGTTTTCCCATAAGGGACAAACAGTAAGCCAGTCTTTTTCTATATTGTGTGTGCCAACATATTTTCTATATTCTGATCATCTAGTGATTTACTTAGTTTTCATTCATGATTTTACAAATTTTCCGATAACTCTATGCTTTTGTAGAGTAAGAATAAATTGTATTGTTATTTATATAAACGTTGTGATGCACGATCCAGTATTACCAACTTTGATGCCTTGGTGCCCTAGAAAATTGCCTCGGTGCCCTCAGATTTTTAGGCCCCACCGAGGCAATTTTTGCCTGCCCTCCTGAACACCTAATTCAAGCCCTGTGTTAATGTTATAGTTCACGTCACCTTAATTCAATTGAACCTTCCACAACGCCGAGTTACACAATATGTGGTTGCACAAAGCACATGATAGTTTTGTACAGCTTGAGCAAAGAGAAACAAATCCATATCATTGCTGTCCATTTACCACTCAAAAAATTGAAAATACGATCAATCTCAGTATGACAGCAGGGACCGGAAACACAAGACATCAAGATAAAATAAAACCGAATCGATTTATACAGCAGGCAGGTAAAATTTCAGAGTCTGCGTCCTCTTATTTTGATGAATGACAGTATTCCTAGTACTGGAAAAAATTGATCCCAACTTTTCGGAATACCAACATCCATTGTTCCCTCCAATTAAAAACAACAAATAATCTAAAGACCTTTGTTAGATGGTAAAAAAAAAAAATGTTTACATCCATCCGTTAAACTCAGGTCCTATCATCTTAATCATTTTGAAATTCTTTGACCTTTAAAGCATACAGCTATCAGAATACGTACCAGAAGATTGCAATCAGAATATACTGATGTCTAGATTAAACAGGACTGTTGTTAACAATAATTGCTCATTTGCATCATTATGTGTGTGACTGTGTGTGCGTTTGTGGGAGTAAGCACATATTATGTATGTGTAGTGTGTGTGTGCGTGCGCGTGTGCATATGTGCGTGCGTGGTGAAACACCAAACTAATGGGCCATCGTCTGGATGATAAAGATTCAACTCATCTTGTAATTTTCACTTAGATCAGGGAAAAAGCATGACACATACAGAAACTTGAGACGCAAAGAAAAGAATTAGGACGAGCAAGTGGTGCCCTCCAACAAACAGTCAATTGAATACCCAGAAGCCACATATCAGGAGGAACGTGTCAGAACTACAGTACTGCACAGACAAAAGAGAAGTGTAAGCGGCAGACCATAATAGACTTAACCGGCCACTGGACTGTTTATGGGTTTGTTTGTTTGTTGTTTTTTTACACCACTTTCACAAACATACAGGATGTTCATAAGATAACACTTTTAATCAGTCTGTGGGAGAACTTGAACTAGTACCAGACAAGAGATTTAGGGAGATGGCTGTGGAGTGGTAAAGATAACATAAGTAAAGACAAGACCGTGAAACCATTCTTAAAGAACATTACACAGTATCCAATGTGGACTGTAACCTAATTTTCATGGGAACTATCTTTAGGATGCATGCTTTAACTTTAAAAAAATTTTTTAGTAAGTGTTTTACGGCCCTCGCAACTGCATAAGGTCATATGAGCACGCAGGACACCTTAAACATTTTCAGTTGGTAGAACACTTTGAATTTTGCCTGGGCGGCGGCCGAAGCCTACTCTTATTGATTTAAGACCAACAAGGGATCTTTAACGTACGCAACTTGCACACGGAACCCCCGAGATTTTTTGCCCTTGTCTAAGAAGGCTAGGTATATATATCTTACCTACCAGAAGATCAGGGGTGTGGCTGAAAGACAGCATTAAGAAGGAGCAAAGGAGTAGCAGTAGAAAGTTAAGAAAGGCTGCACAAAGAGTCAGGAGCCCGAGCAAAGGAGGAGTGGAGGTGGGGGGCAGAAAGTGGAGATGCAAGCAGACGACAGAACATTACTAGAGAGCAGGAAAGAAGGTGAAAGGAGACAACTTTAACGTTGTACGGTTGAGAAATTGTGTAATAAAATGTTTTTCGGAGTTTTTTTGTTTATTGCTCTTTTTATGGCAAGTTTTCATATACAGTAGTCCCCATCTAAAATCCCGTGCTCGGGAGCAAGGAAAATGCAGAATCTTAAGCGAACAGGATCTTAACCGACACACAAAGAGAAGAATCCATAGTGAATCATGTTCAGGCCCAACAACTGGTAAAATGGACCCTTACTCTGAAGTGAATTGGCGTGACCCCCATGTGTGGGTTTATGATTTCTGGCGAGCAAAAAGTGGTTAATTAAAACCTTGATGACTAATCACAGTAGCATGAGTCAAGTCATTTTAACTAAAATCCTACCAGAAGTCTCAAAAATCTACGCTCATCCAGTTGCTCTTCCCTTTTACCAGTCCAACATTAAAAGCTTTCCATCTCTGCTGACCGAGTTCCCTCGCCGTTGTCATAACGCACCATTTTGTTGTGATCACACAAATTAAATTCAGTCTGTCTCACAAATTCAGGAGTAGATGCAACCTCAACAACGGTCAGGGAAAAGTTCACAGTTTGATGTGATCCTGCCTGGAGCAGACTTGTAGGTCCCTCCCACCCACCCAGCGATGATATAAGTTTAGGTGGAGGGCTCACATGTAAGTGCGATGTTTGGGGACAACAAACGGGTCGGCGAGTTCACACCTCAGAGTGATCCTGTCAGGGCAAACATTGCATCGTTTCATCGAGATCTACCACGGACAGGATGTGATCACATTCACGAGAGTGGCTGATCTGTGACGCAACAGGCAGTCCAATGATCACAAATTTTGACTCTTGATTGATGTACTGTGTCCACCATGGTTTTTGTTCCGTAAATTATGATCTGACATGCGGGTTCTTAACTGAATGTAGGCCTTCAGACCCGGGTCTTAGTGTGACTTTTGCATAGTAAAAATTCTGTTTTCTTTAAACAGATGTTAAGCGAACAGAGATTGCAAGTGGTGCGATCTTGGGTGGAGACTACTGAAGTCTGAAGTAAGTTATATCACAGGATCTGCAATTATACAATTATAATATTTCACTCCATCTCTGTTAGGATCCAGCCAAACAGAAGGTCAACAAAGAGCGCTATGAACACTTTTCAAAAGTTAAATCAATTGAAATAGAGATGAGACTTGGAGGGACTTTTACACAAGACAATCAGACGAATAATCTAGCTTGATACAAACTGAGCATTGACACTTCACAAAAAAAATTAATAAATAAAAATAATAATATAAAAAAGGGAAAAAAAAGAAGACGAAGAAAAAAAAAAAAGCACAATTCAAAGCAAGATAAGCAGGAATGATTTTGAACATATTTCAACTTTGCATTCATTTATATAGTTAACATGGTAATTTTGCTTCAAGTTAGTTGAGGTGGCTGTATGTTTTATATTTGAGCCTGCATTTTTACTACTCGGGTAGGTACTCTTTCACTCATTTTTCTCTGATCCAGTATTTCTACCTTTTTCAGGCATTTCTTCTTCTTTTTTGTCCTTCTTCTGTTAAACAAGGAAGTAAGGGAAAGTTTCACTGCCTACCTCTATGTCTTACGTGTGCACATAAGAAATTAAAGCAGTTTGCTTCTTCATACTCAATACGTGAAGCAGCCTACATTGGTGAGATCAAGTATCTCCATCTGATGAATACTGGAACAATAGATGGACATGACGAAAAATTCCATACTTTTGTATAAAGTAAAGAGTGCCAGTGGCTTCAATGAAAAGAGACAGGATTGTAAACAGGGGAGAAAGGAAAACAATTTCATGTGTATGGGAAAGCCAGGAGAATGGATAAAGATATAAATAAGCTGTAGACTAGCTTTTAAAAAAAATAGAAACTCTATTTACAATGAAAGCAAAAAAAGTAAGAAACGAACCTGATAAAATCAAGATTGAAATTGAAATTCAGTTTCGAAAGATTTAAAAAAAAAAATGCACTGACTTACTTTACTACTGTACTTGGTGGAATAGGGATACATTTCAACTCCCCACAGGGGGTTGTATCTCCTTCAAAGTGAACACTTGCTGTAGGCTGTACTGTAGTTTTCACTTCACTGTTTCATAAATATAGATTTCGTCCTTCAAACTTGTAAAAATCTGCACATCCGCTGTCCATTGTAGCTTTTCAATAGTCAAATGTAGGTAAGTAATCAATTTTCAAAATATTCTTGAAAATGAAAGTCAAGAGAGGAAGTCCTATGCCTACAGCATGTCAGAGAAACAGCTCCATTTTTGTTCCTTGTCACATCAGTTTGGAATCAAGTCGCACTGCTTTTCTATGGAGATTGAATGATACTGTAACTTTAAAGTAAGTATCCACTTGTGCAAAGATTTGGACAAGAAAGAAGCAGGCCTTGCTCGTTGAATGCAGTTCAAAGTCTGGCAATAAAACAGAAAAAATATTTTAGACAAAATCAAGATCTAGACCTTAAGTTAGAAAATTTAATCCAACTAAAACAAGTTCCTAGATATAGATCTAGACCAAGCAAGCTCTCCAGTCTTAGTAGATGAGAAATCAAGATCTAGAATCTAGCTGTTAAATCTTCAACTGGATGCTCTAAATTAGGAATAAATGTTAACAGATTTTTAATTTTAACTTTTAGAAGAAATTTTATACTTCTAATGGTATCCCATACAGCTGATGAAATTATTTAATTGAAGTTTCTATTTCATATAGTCGGAACCTGCCATGACGGCCACCTGTACAAACGGCCACTTACTATTCCTCCTCTGGCGTTTTTTCTATATAATTTCACTGAGTAAAATCCCCACGTGTCACAACGCAGCCGCGGCCATCATGTTTTAACACACAACCCCTATCACACCAAACAATAACACCTGTCTTAAACGGCCACCTTAGCGACTCCATTAACGTTTTGCCATAAATCATGCATTGGCTCCTGATGTTGCGGGCAAGCCATCATAATCCAATTACCTGTCGTTATTGTTAGGTAGTCCCTCCAACCGATCATGTTGCATTGGCCCCTCCCACTGTTGACCAATAGGCAATAAATTTTCAGCCGCAGGTGAAGTAAACCACTACTGTAAACGTGCGATCCCTCAAAACCCATAAGCCCCGCACAGAACTCATACTCACAAACCATAAGTGAAATGAGTGGTTACTGTTTACCCAGTCTGCCAGTGGCTAAGTGAGTAGTGAGTTTTGACTCAAGCAATGTCAAGCAAGTGTCGGTGACACAGGGATCAGATGGGTGGTCACTGGAGTGTATCCTTGAGCAAGACACGACAATCCTAGCTCAAAATACAGGGCGCTGCACAGTGGCGACCGACAGTGGCATTGTTGTAAACTGTTCTGTATTTGTGTAATAGTGTGTATTTATGTACGTATTTATGCATGTATGTATTTATGTATAACATTACGTATTTATAATTATAATGTATTTATGTATGTATGTTTGCCATTGTAAAACAAAGTGCCCTTCAGGTCCTTCTGGGACAAATAAAAGTGTAATCATGTATTATTTATATATTTTTTAAAAATTATTATATTGTGGTAAAAAAATGCGAGGTGCAACTTATTGTCAAATATTTCCTCAATCTTCAAACCGTCTCTGGGGGCTCTCGTGGCCTAGAGGTTAAGGTGTTCGCTTTTCATTCAAAGGTCCTGGGTTCCAATCCGGGTAGCGACGAAAACATTTTCTTCTCTAAAATTGTCTTTCACCTCCTTTCCCGCTCTTTAGCAATGTTCTTTTGTCTGCTTTCATCTCCACTTTCTGCCCCCACCCCCTTTGCCCCCTCCTCTGGACTCTTTCTGCTGCCTTTCTGCTGCTACTCCTTGGCTCCTTCTTACTGCTGTCTTTCAGCCACACCCCTGATCTTCTGGTATGAAAGATCTACACCTAGCCTTCTCGGACAAGGGCAAAAAATCTTAAAGGTCCTGTGCGCAAGTTGTGCACGTTAAAGATTCCTTGGTGGTCTAAAATCGAGGCTTCGACCACTACCCCGGCAAAATTTAAAATTTCCTACCAACTGAAATGTTTAATGTGCCCCGTGTGCTCATATGACCTTATGCAGTTGCGACCGCTGTAAAATACCACCCCAAAAAATGTCTCCAGTTGTAAAAATATATTTTCTAGAAAGTTCCATAATAAACACTATTCAAAAAATTCCAGCGGGTGGTTTTTAGAGGATTTTAAAAGATTTACAACAGGGACAATAGCAATTTTCTATGTGACAGAGATAAAAATAAAAACTTATTTAAAATAAAAATAAATGGGGGGCTCTCGAGGTCGAGCGGTTACAGCGTTTGCCTCTCATTTAATAGGTCCCGGATTTGATTCCAGATAGCGACAAAAGTTTTTCTTATCTCAAAATTTCTCCTTTCATCTCTTTTCCATTCCTGCTCTTTAAACAAAGCTCTGTTTTCTGCTTTCGTCTCTACTTTCTGCCCCCTCTCCCACCCCTCTTTGCCGTGGTGGGCCTGCTTTGCCGCTAAGTAGGCGATAGGCTACGTCACTAGGTTTCATCGCCGACTGTTTGGGCTGTGTGCGCGCGTGTGTGTGTGCGAGTGCACGCACTTGTGTGTATGTGTGTACAACTTTGAGGAGAAGGTAAATTTAGGGAGCAAGAATTGCTGAGATTGTTTAGAAAAGAAGTGGAAGCGGGTTTATGCTCCCCGATAAAAAGCCTATTTCGACACTGAACAAACTGACCCACTTAGACATATGAGGGGCTTGAAAGAATAGTCAGGAAACAAGACTTCCATTTTTCTCTAGACAAAATCTTTCAAATGAGCTTGATTTTGTATTCATCATGAAATGATACTCTCTCTCTCTTGCCCTTTTTAACTCCTAGTGGAGCACAGGCCATCAACAGCATTACCCCAGCGAAGCCTGTCCTGAGCATCCTTTTCTATCTGTTTCCATGACGTCCCCGCTTTTTCAATTTCCGCTTGTACCGCTCACCTCCATGTCATCTTTGGTCTTCCCTTTTTACATTTTCCTTGTGGGTTCCACGTTAAAGCCTGCCTGATGATGCTTGTCGGGGGTCTCCTCAGGGTGTGTCCAATCCATTTCCATTATACCAGTATATGTCTTCCTTTACTGGCCTTTGGCTTGTTCTTTCCCACAGTGGAGATATTGGTGACTCGATCGTACCACTTGATCCCCACTATCCTTCATTGGCATCCATTTACGAAGCTCTGCAGTTTCCTTGCTGCTGATGCTGTGAGCCTCCATGTCTCTGAGCCATACAGTAGAACAGTCTTCATGTTTGTTTTGAAGATCCTCAGCTTGGTGTTCAATCCAAGTTCCTTAGACATCCATATATTCCAGAGAATGATGAATGCTGCTCTTGCCTTTTGGATTCTGACCTTGATGTCTTCGTCTGTTCCCCCTGCCTTGTTGATGACACCTCCCAGGTAGGTGAAGGATTCAACATCCGCCAATGGTGCCCCTTGCAGTGTGACAGAAACGTCGGCTGCATTCATTCGTAGAACTTTCATTTTATTCGTGTGAATATGGAGTCTAAAAGTACGGGAGAAGGTCCTGAGGCGATCTGTTTTCTGTTGCATCTGGGCTCGACTGTGAGAAAGAAGTGCCAAGTCGTCGGCAAAGTCCAAGTCTTCCAACTGACTGGAAAGGGTCAACTGCATGCCACCGCATAGTCCCAATGTTGTCAGTTTCATTATCCAATCCACTGCTAATAAAAAGAGAAAAGGCGATAGTAGGCATCCCTGTCTCATTCCTGTATTCACTTCAAACGAGTCTGTCCGCTGCCCTCCAGGTAAGACACTGCAACTCATTCCCTCATGCATCTTCTTGATCAATCTCATGAACTTGTCAGGTATTAATAATGATACTACCTGATGATAAAATATAAGCATTATTTGATAGTTTTGATTACTTAACCATTGTGCAGGTAAAACGACCAATTGTTAAAACATTCAGAAACTGACCTAAGATATTTTCTCCTTTCAAATCCCAGATCATTCGCAACAACAAGAGCGTCTAAAAAGATCATTCGAATGGGCATAACTCCTCGTAATGACGGTAAATTTTTACTTTCACTTCCGCACACTCAGGGGTTAGTATGCAGTTTGTTTGATGCAGATCACACATTATAAAGTAATAAAGTCACCAAAACTGTCGCAAATCAATTATTTTCCAGAAAAATTTACAACATTTATAACTGTAAAATATCAAATTACAATGGGTTAAAACGAGGGGGGGGGATGCCCCCTGAAACCCCCCCCCCCCCCCCCCCCCCCCGATAGGTCCAAAGCATACAAATTACTGCGCGGTTAGGTATAGTGTGAATATAGCTTGATAAAGAACAATCAAATATTTCAAAAACTATTAATTTGCGACGGAAATGAAGTAGATATTCTCGTGTTCAGCGCATCAATATTTTGTAGAAAATAGACAACTGGTAGCTAACAGTAAGATGGGAGGGAAAGTAAAAGAAAACCGTAATATCTTATCAGCATATGAGAGCATTTGCCAAAAGGTGGGATACCAGGGTGTGACAAATGAGGTCCAAAATCAACTTTATGTAATAATTCTTTAATCACCCATATTATATGGCCTAATGATTGCTCTTTCAGGCTCAGTAACTGCCAAAGCTGTATATGCAATGGTCTTGGTGTAATTCTGACTTAAATGACGGAAATAGCAAAAAGTTCGTTCATAACAATGATGACACAAATTTATGAATACTCAAAGTTCATTTCTTCAGCTAGGCTGATGTTATATTTTGAGACATAGCAAATAACTTCCAAAAATACATAAAATTGACAATTTATAAAAATCTTTATTAATTTTTGATAAAATTACTTTTTTGTGTCATAATAGTTATGAACGAACAATAAGTGACCAAAATACTATCGATTATATCAAGTTTCATTGACTAGAATTGTCTAAAATAACACTCTGGTCTAATTATAGTCAAGTGATAAATGGAAGACCATTGAACAGCTATTTTTAAACGCAAACTGGTCTTAGGGCATATTATGCATAAATTTAAAGTTCGTTCATAACCATTATGACACACTGTTTCGTTCATAACTATTATGACAAATTTTACTTTTGGCCCCTGAAATTTACTATATTGTTCTGTCTTTCACATAAAACGGTTTTCATTAATGAGGCTTTCCTTAAAATATTATAGATTCCTCTATGTAGGGAGAATTCAAAGTTTATTTCCTGAAAAACCCTTAGAATACCTTTAAAATGGTTCGTTCATAACAATTATGACAAACTTCAATTTTGACCTAAAAATGTACTCATTTTGAGCTGTCATTCATTTTTTAAAACTTTTATTAAATGAAACTCTCCTCATAATATGTATCTCTGTACATGTTTTTAAAGTTTGTTAACACTGAAAAGCCCTCAAAATATATAAAGTGGACTATAAATAGTTCGTTCATAACCATTACTACAAAAGTATAAATACTAATTAAAATCCACACCCATACACTTATGATAAAAATCAAAATATCAGAATGTATGTAAGGTCTATTCTGTCCTTTAGTTGGGTTAAAATTAAAAATACATCCCAAAACAACTGTAAATTACATGGAATAGTGTTTCGTTCATAACCGTTATGACACACTGTTTCGTTCATAACTATTATGACAAATTTTACTTTGGGCCCAAAAAATTAACTTATTGTTCTGTCATTCACATAAAATTGTTTTAATTTATGAGACTCTCCTCAAAATAAGGTTATATGTGGGAAGAATTCAAAGTTTAATCACTGAAAAACCCTTAGAATACCTTTAATTGTTCGTTCATAACTATTATGACAAACTTCAGTTTTGACCTAAAAATTAATATTTTGACCTGTCATTTACTTAAAAATTTTATATTAAATGAAAGTTTCCTCATAATATGTATCTGTGTACATGTTTTTAATGTTTATCAACTCTGGAAAGCCCTCAGAGTACAATAAGTAGTTCGTTCATAACCATTACTACAAAAGTAAAATACTAATTAAAATCCAGACCCATACACTTATGATAAAAATCAAAATATCAGAATGTAAGCAAGGTCTAATACATCCTCAAGTTGGGTTAAAATTAAAAATACATCCCAAAACAACTGTAAATTACATGGAATAAGGTTTCGTTCATAACCATTATGACACACTGTCACGTTCATAACATGATGACAATCCATTATGACAAGCATATTTTTGCCTCTTCTTCGCTTCTCTTTTGAGTCATCAGCACGATACTCTTCCATGTTCATTCCACCATGTAAAAGGATGTTGTGAAACAGTGGGAAGTCCCTCACATGATATTTTGCAGAAATATCATAAAGTGTTTGTTCATAACATCATTATGACAAACCTGGATTATCTCAATCAAAGTCATATTTAAGCAAAACCATGCGATGGAGCGGAAAATTACCCTTCTGATGGATCAATGTCAAACCAATGTTTAATACCGGTCATTCCCCGGAATGATATGTTTAACGATTTGGGTTTTCTAGACCTTGGAAAGTCTGATGATGTAATTATGACACGAGTTATGAACGAACTTATAAATTTTACTCAGCAATAACATCATTAATATAAAAAAATAAAACCCTTTTAATGGACACACGCTGTCATGATGGTGTATACAAACTATTTTCAATGTTTGAATGCACTTCTGTTTGATAGTTTAAGATTAACAATATTCTGTATTTAACATACAATTACGTGTGCACTCAGGATGAGTAAAAAATGCCCTATTTTTAGTACTATTATCTTTCTATGTAGAGATATAAGATGCACACATCAATCTACTTGCTCATGCAGCTTGACCAACTTATTTCCTTGCCATATACATAAAGTTTTCAGAAGAAAACATATTTTACCATGAGTAGTGGTTGATTTAAAAAGTCCTTAAGCAAACACCCCCACCTTTTGGCAAAAGCTCATGAGAGTGGCTTATTCATTCATGTGTTTGTAACACACATGGAAAGCTATAAAAGATAGTTCAACGTCATTTTCATCACTGATTAACACACTCCACGGTATTTCCAGGTCCGCTCGCTGTACACCAACAGCACACGACACACTGAGTGACCCCCGTGACAGGCCCGGAACATCCGCCGTAATAGGTTGCTGATCAAGATTCGCATCTTGTCACAAGACGCAGGACATACACAACAATAAAAAAACCAGACAAACACGGCAAGATCCAGTCAACAGTTACTGGCGAGGGAAACCCAAGAGTCTTGGGGGGAAACCCCTGATGACAACAAAAATAGATGGCAGAAATACGTCATCCTATATTTGGGCCAATCACAGAGGTGTGCTACGTACTGCTAGGTGCCCGACGATGTTTTTCCCTTTTGTTTCTTTTTTTCACCCCCTCCCACCCCTCTTTCCGCATTGGTCTTCTTCTATTCTCCCTTCAGATTTTTTCGAACGACTTGTATTTTCAAATTGTCGGGAATCGTGTTCTGCGTGCTGAGCGACCGAGGCCTTGTCGACTGAGGCTGTTTTGCTGTGCTCGCCTCCGCCCTCCGTAAGCTCTGTTGCATTTAGACCAGCGCTGCATTATTTTTCACGACAGACGACAGTATTCCTGTGCTGTTCCCTCATTCACTTTGAGTCTGAACGACCGATGGCGGATGACACAGGGTGCCGTGAACGTAGCCTGCAAACTAGAATCTAGATCTAGATTCTACATCACATAGCCATAGCCTGTAGCCACTGCGTATTTAATTCTCATTTCTTAAACTTAAAGGAAGTGGCTATACTCACCCGGGGTGAGAATAAAAATACGATCGACCTCTCACCCCGGGTGAGACTTGCCACTTCCTTTAAGAAATGAGAATTCTAAAGTATAACATAACAACGCCAACGGTGAACGCACACCGGGTGAGAATAAATAAACAGCCAAAAGAAAAGACTCGCCTGTACTGTGCTATTGTACAATAACGACAAAATGTTAGATCTAGAATCTAGATCTAGATCTAATATAGATCTAGATTAGATCTACATTCAAAAAAGCTGACCGTACACAGAAATAATATTTCGCCAGCAGAGCACTAAATGAGGTAATTTAGTAGGCATAGGCTCAGTCAGTATCTTCCACTTACAACTTCGTATGGACTTGCATTTGCAGTTTGTTTTGTTGACAGAGATACAATCTTCAGTGAGAAGAATGTTCAAAAGTTGATAACATCCGGGAGTTTTTGTGTTTGATTGTTGGATAGGAGATGACAAATGATATGTACATTATATTCAATACGATGATATTATCAAAGGATAATAATCAAATTATAATTATTTTCATATGAATCTAAGACAGCTAAATAAAAATGGACTTTTTGAAAATTAAATTGATTTAGGCCAAGGCTACAAACAAACACAAGTCAACATCGTTATTCTTTCAAAAAAAGTAACTGCGCATGCTCAAAAAGGACAACTTCCGTTTATCTTCGAGATCGAATGTTGCTCTGCTTATTGCTTCCCTAGAAAATCAAATCCACTAATTACTTCCTTTCTGTGTACATTATGATATTTCCCCAATGATGGCAGCTTTGTTTTCATGTACCAAATGTCATAAAAGATACCCATTTGATGAACTATCCCAAGGAGAGCAGTTATGCAAGGTTTGGTCGACCTTTACTGGTTACTTGTCGGTGTCGACACTCTTCTTCAGACTCTTCTTTCTTACACTTCTCACCATGTCATGTCAACAACTCTTAGACTCTCTCAATGAGAGCCTTTCAAGTTTCTTTTCATACTTCTCCTGAGGCTTAATAAAACCCCCATTAGTATTGAGAAATGCCTCCTAAAAGAAAATTATGGGATCTGTCGTTACTGTGAAGACCTTCCTTAAATTTAAAAATACGGTCCGGTAAATTTAATTTTTATAGTTCAAGCAAGTGGCTACTCCGGCGTCGCGCCGGTCAATAGATCAGAAGCTATTCTCCGGCGTCGCGCCGCCGGTCTATTACTAATAATTTGTTGGTGCAGATTTGCAAATACCTCTCTCATCTGTTTGTCTTGGAAGAAAATTCCCACAACTTTACCACTTCGTGCCACTTTTTATTCTCATCCGGGGTGAGAATAGAAAAACGATCTACCTCTCACCCCGGGTGAGACTTGCCAGCGTAGGCTATTCTCACCCGGTGCGAAACAAGACCTGCTTTTCCTCATTTTGGAATACTGTCTATCGGTGTGGATGATCAAATTGATAAAAGCCAAGAAAAAATTACGTTATAGCACAAAAGTAAGCTAATTTGATCGTCTTCAAAGATGCTATGGCTATTTCACTGTTCGAATCGAGCCGAACTACGCGGGTCGCCATTTTGTTTTGCCCGGAAGTTCTCGCAAGATCTACTCCTCCCCTCTCTCTCTCTCTCTGTCTCTTTCTGAATACTGTCTATCGGTGTGGACGATCAAATTGACCAAAACAAAGTTAAAAAATGATGTTAAAACACAAAAGTAAATTAATTTGGTTGTCTACAAAGATGCAGACAATAGGTTTTCAGACACAAACTGCCCCAATTCCTCCAATTTAACATTATGGATTATGTTTGGTGCTTGAAGAAACGTGTTCACAACTATTGACGCGAGTTCATAACAAAGAGTGAGCATAAGAAGAAGTCATTTTCACTGTTTACAAAGGCCACCTCTATTCTCACCCGGGATGAGAATAGTGCAGGCTAGTCTTTTTTTGGCTATTCTCACCCGGTGCGCGTTCACCGTTATAGCCTAGATCTAGGCCAACAAATTTTGCGTTCACCCTAAACCACAGAATTCTACACTGTGATAACAGAAAAATTGTAGAATTCTGTGCCGTGAACAAACGTTCCATTACAACTGTAGTGTAGCCTACTAAAAGCGTACAATTTTGTATGTTGGGCAGTGGAGAGAGAGAGAGAAAGAGACAGAGAGAGGAGTAGCGGGAGAACTTCCGGTCAAAACAAAATGGCGACCCGCGTAGTTCGGTTCGTTTCGAAAAGTTAAATAGCCGTAGCATCTTTAAAGACAACCAAATTAATTTACTTTTGTGTTTTAACATCATTTTTTAACTTTGTTTTGGTCAATTTGATCATCCACACCGATAGACAGTATTCAGAAAGAGACAGAGAGAGAGAGAGAGGGGAGGAGAAGATCTTGAGAGAACTTCCGGGCAAAACAAAATGGCAACCCGCGTAGTTCGGCTCGATTCGAACAGTGAAATAGCCATAGCATCTTTGAAGACGATCAAATTAGCTTACTTTTGTGCTATAACGTAATTTTTTCTTGGCTTTTATCAATTTGATCATCCACACCGATAGTCAGTATTCCAAAATGAGGAAAAGCGGGTCTTGTTTCGCACCGGGTGAGAATAGTCTACGCTGGCAAGTCTCACCCGGGGTGAGAGGTAGATCGTTTTTCTATTCTCACCCCGGATGAGAATAGCCACTTCCGTTTACAAAAATGGAGATATGACAAGAAAGCACTGAAGTCGCGACATATCAGTTAAATTGATCGAAAATTACAACAAGAAATAAGTTAAACAGCAAGCTATACTAGATCTATATGACTAGACAGAATTTTAGACACAGAATCAATTTTGTTTGTTTAAATAAACAGAATCATTATTTTAAAATTAGCAAATGGACGATGGAAATAAATGAATAAAGTTATATTTATCATAGATAAAATATAATGAAAGGTAGACTTACTAGGCGGCCTAATTATGGCGCCGGAGAATAGCTTCCGATCTATTTACCGGCGGGACGCCGGAGAATAGCCACTTGCTTTATAGAAACCCTCCTGTCTCAGTGAGAAAGGGTATTGTTTTGTAAAGGATTTTTTTAGAGCCCTGAACACGGTTTTGGCATTGAAAAACATCGCAAATGCTTAGTTTAGATGTTACGGCACTTTATTTCAGGGGAGAGACCCCCTTGAACTCCGCCCTACTATACAGCTCTTACGTACTCGCTCGAAAGGGGAATACCCCCTGAAACACAAATTCTCCTTATGACAACAAAACCATGCATTATTTTTAAAAAAGCCTAAAACTAAGCCTTAATAACTTTTAAAAAACTGACCTTATTCGTATATCCGACGTCACTAAAGTGGTGAAGGAGCTGACTTCTGGTAGTAGGTGTGACGCAAAACGGGAGGGCTTCTATAAAAATACAAAAAATACATGAAGTTGATGAAGTCATGAAGCTGACAAGTACAGCGAGCAGCTAGATCTAGATTCTAGATCTAACACACCTCTGTGATTGGCCCAGATAAGATGGCGTATTTCTGCCATCTACTTTTGTCTTTGTCCGTGGCTTCCCCCAAGACTCTTGGATTTCCCTCGCCAGTAACTGTTGACAAAATCTGGTCATGTTTGTTTTAGGGTATTAATTTGTGTTATTACTGTTAGTGATAGTGTTATCTTTTATACAATCTGAGCAATTCTCGTTCCTTAAAATTTCCTTCTCCTCAAAGTTGTACTCACACACACACACTCAAGCTCGTGCTCGCACACACGCACATATACACTTACTACACACTCAAAAGCGCGTGCACACCGCACACGCATGCACACCCACAGCCAACCAAGAAGTCGGCAATGAAACCTAGTGACGTAGCCGATCGCACTAAGCGGAAAAGCGTACCCGCCACGGTGAGATCTAGTCAACTGGTGAGGGAAGCCCCAGAAGACGACAAAAATAGTTGGCGGAAATATAATATGCCATCTATATTTGAGCCAATCTCAAAGGTGTGCTAGGTGCTCGCTGTAGCTTCATGTTTTTAATGAAATCGGAATTTTAGTTACTAAGGTATAGTGGAGGCGGAGTACAGAGGTCTGACTAGACTGATGGCCTTTTTTTTTCCATTAATATTTCTGTTAAAATCTGTCTCTGTACTGTACCCATATATATATATATATATATATATATATATATATATATATATATATATATATATATATATATATATATATATATATGCATAGAGGCCCTATGATAGGTAGGCCAACCATATTGCACTTTATATTTTGTGGATTTTTGTTAGTTGGGTTGTAAACTAGATTTATCACTTTATCAATATCACCAGCCCTATAATTACTAAATAAATTTAAGTTTTAACTCACTGAGTGGAGCCTTGCTCCTGACCACCGCTGTACATACATCGATAGAGACTACAATCGGGATTTCCCAATTTTTTAAAGTTGGCAATCTAATAAATAATGCGATATGTTTTAAATGAAACTTAGGGTAATGGGGTTGCTAATTGGATAAAAGAACCGAAGATTTTCGAAATCCAGAATTAATTTATATATGTTAAACTCTTCTCACTTTGGTGACGGTTGCCCAACATTATTTCACTTCACTTGTTGTAAAAGAATACTAGTTCTAAGGATGAGAACTTTGTGAGACAATTCATAGAAGTAAAATAGATGCCTAGATCCAGTCCTCATATTTTTATGGTATTTTTTTTTGTCTCAGAATTGTACTTTATAAAAATTTTCAGAATTCCTAATGATTTTAAAATTGTAGTTAATGAGTGAGGTTAAATGTGACACCATGTTGACTAATCTGCTTGGAAGGATGAAAAATACAGAAAAGAAAGGGATGACTGATGGCTTGAAAAATGCATGGGATTGAACAGAAAATTTTAATGTGTCGCACTATATTGTTGGACGGACCCAATCATCCCGAAGTTTTTTGTTTGTTTGAGTGAATGACAGTACTGTTTTCTTCTCAGGAATGTAGGAACAACTTCCCAACAGTGAAGTGCACTTACTGCCGTGCTGAGTTTCAACAGAACAGGTAAATCAGTCTTTGAGTTGGTCCAGGTCAGGATTGGAGACACTAGTGAGGCAGTCTTTGGTCACTTGAAAAATATGAGCTTTTTGGTCGCTTTTGTGGTACTATCATGTACAGATTTGGCCTAGAATTATGAATATTTAGAATGATGTGGAAAACTGGCAATCTCTGTTATTTGATTTTTTTGTTTTGTCAGTGAGATCATTTGTGCTCTCTGAAATTTGAGTGGGGGGGGGGGGGGGGGGTTGGATGGGACTTCATTCATGCTTCATATGTCCTTCTGTGAACTTGAAAATGTCTTTGTGTCAAAGAATATGAAAAGCAAAGAAGAGTTCTGAAATTAGTCTCAGTCTGACTCAAATTACATTGATTTCATTTTAGATAGGATTTTTCTTCTCTTTATTTTTATTTGCATGCCCAATTCTATACAAACAATGTCTTGTGGTTTGTAAAACAAGAAGAGTTTAAATTATACCTACTTTGATCAGGGGGTGGGAGGGTTTTGCTCGTGTGGGGCTGGTTTTAGTTGTTATTTTCTTTTTCTGTTGAAGACTGAGCTCCTTCAACTGCATATCAACAAACAAAATCATGCACTTGGTTTTCTGAATACATCAATTTGTTAATATAAGTAATGTTCCCATCTTCTTCGACTCCATAAGTGACAAGGTGGGCAACTTTGTATCCCATAGTGAACTTTTCATTTTTTTCGTCTCTGATAAATTCCAAAATGTGAACAAAAGTCTCTGAATATGGTGACATTGTTACTGGCAAACCTCACCTATGGGGCTACAGAAGAAAGGCTGGATAAAAAGAATGGGTATGATGTAGGTAGGTAGAAAAACATTTCATGGTTGTGGTTAAATTGGTGAGTTGGGAGAGGAATGTAACTAAGATTTTTCTAAATTGTTATTATCATTAAAAGCTTGCTGTGTACTTTTCTGAATGTTTGTAACATAAAATGCTTATGTGTGTTTTTATTATTCAGCAGGGGCAGTACCAGTTCTATATGTGCAAAATGCGCTCAAAACGTGAAGCATTATGGCAAGGTTTGTTACACATTTCTTTGCGGTGCTTCTGTATATGTTATGGGGAGGGGGGGGGGGCTACACCTGAAGGCTATCTCGCTTATAACCTGGTCAAATTTTACCAAATTTCACACATATAACAAGCATAGTAAGGAGTCTTAAAATCCACAATAAAATTTGAGAAAAAAGTTTTGTTTCCAAGGCTACGGCGCCCATATTGGATTTTATTTACATGTCTTGCTTTTGCGTAATGAATACCGCACATATTTTTCATGGAAATGGATTATTTTTTTGCACTCATGTTAACAAACATTAGATCTACAAATTATTAGATCTACAAATTTCTGTGTTGAATTTTTCCTAAACAAATTAAAAGTAGAGGTTTCCTTCGTCTTCTGGGCAAAATTCAAAATTCTTACCATGGTACCAAACTGAAAATGTTTAATTTGTCCTGCACGCTCAAATGACCTAATGCAGTTGCGAAGGCCATAAAACACTTACCTAAACAAAACAAGGAGGAAAAAATGGCCAGGAAGGATTGTTTAAATTGATGAAATCATATTTGCCTGAGAGAGAAAAGGGTGGTCAATTTCTTAACTTTTGGTTTTACTTATTATATTGTTTCATTATTGGAAATTGATGTTAAATTTTTTTGGGTCAATTTGTTTCATTCTCTTTCCAGCCTACTGCATGTGAGAACTGCAGCGTTTTAGCAGCGTTTATTGGCAATCGATGCCAACGCTGTGTTAATTCTGAGAAGAAATGGGGACGTCCTCTTGTGTGTGAACAGTGCAAACTCAAGTGTGCCTTTGATCGTCCTGAGAGAAGAAAAGTGAGTGCTATGTTCAACTCTGTTATTACAGTGAATGATCTTTAACCCGCTTAGTATTACTGGCTCTATTGTGAAAATTTGCTTCAGTATCACACAAAGGGAAATAACCCCCCTTTTTTTGTCACAGTGTATGCATTAAAAAAAAATAACGGAAAACAGCCCAGAGCTTCTATATGAAAAGAATTGTACCATAATGGACTGAAATGAGTAGAATTTAACGTCAAGTAGCAATATTTATTATCATGTTTACTGAATAACCAGTATTACAGTCATGCAAATACAATTTTTATCTCCAAAATGTCATTGTACCAGAATTGAATTGTCATTGTCCTTCACCAAAAGCAGCCACCTACAAACAGTTAATGACAGTCGTTTATAGCTGAAGGTGCCCCTGAAAGCACTTCCCTTGGCACAGATTGATTTGGCACATTGAGCATCCAAACTGAGTTTCAGTTGGTAGGAAGGGACCTTGAGGGGTCAGTTTCTTGGGAACAACCCTTCTGCATTTTGTTAATATTGTCAATGAGGTTGCCCAAAAATCGGAAAGCCATTTTGTACTGGCTGCTGCTGACAGCTGTTTTTTTCAGTAGCCCAGTTTGATTGACTTGTCTGTTTGTTTGCTCAATGAAAATTGTACGCAAGTAAATTACCCTGATGGGCTCTGGTCGGAATGGCATATTTGCCAATCAGAGTAAGGACAGAACCATGGTACGCCTGTTATGGTACTGAATTGAGGCCATGCAAGCGGCTGGTTATGACTGTTATGGTACTGAGTGGATTTTATAGCTTACATGATTTTGCTGTAGATTTTATGGCTGTCCTCAGTTTGTACCCTAAAATGAATGTCAGTTCAAGCTCTGCAGTTGTACATGTCAAGTTATGTTTAAATAAGTCATTAAAAAAGTATCTTGTCTCTGTGATTTTATATTGGATGTTTTTGTCCTTCAAGAAATTCTGTACTGTTCTGCACAAGTTTGTAAAAATTAAAGTTGTTTAGCTAATTTTTTAACCAGTGAAATGAAAGTTAATATTAATTATACCATCTCCCAGTCTTCCATATTGATATCCTTACTGTGATAGTTGTGATGTTTTTGGATGTGCAGAAAACAATGAAGAAACCTGAATGATGATTTTGTTTTATTGTTATTTAGTTTATGGTCCACTGAGTGTCCCGTTTTACCACCACTGTAAGGGTTAAAAGAGAAGTAGAATTTTTTTTTAGAATAAGTGTCTCATTTGATGAACAAGAATCAATTCACCATTTATTTCGTCAGTCGTTCTTGAATTTTTTGTTGCATTTTTTTTTTCCAGCAGGATGGCAAACTGATGTGCTGGTTGTGTGACCAAGCATATAAAAGAGTTCTTGCAAAGACCAGAAAGTCCCAAGAGCTGATTCTAAAAACTTCAAAATCATCCTCATCTTTTGTAGCAGACTCACCTAATAAGTCAAACACTCCGACAAACCATGATCAGAACTTTCCTTCAAGTCAGACAGTGGTGTCTTCAGGTTCGTTAGAAGGAATGACAGTGTTAGAACGCCTTACCAGATTAGCCACAAGTGGTGGAAGCAGTCGAGGAAACACTCCCCCTGTCAATAGTGACAGAAAATTTGACAATGTAGTTCTCGGGAAACCAGAAGCAGAAAATCGGGTTGCCGAGAAGGAATCATCTTCGGCGGTGCTAGAGGAGAAAGACGACGGAGATGACAAAGAAAAGCATAGGTCTCATCGGCATCATCGAAAACACCATCACCATCATCATCATCGCTCCCACCATTCTAAACGACGTCACTCGAAGTAAGTTGCTACCTTGACCAACAGATGTAAGCTTCTCAGCAAACACAAATTATTTGGTTTGGGGATATTCTTTAATTATTTGGTACCACTGCTCTGAAACTTTCTGGAATTTGAGAAAGAGAGAGAGTATGCTCATTTTAACTCCTTGTCTGACATTTATTGGTTTTAATATATTTCTGTGTTGTTTGAGGGCCTTTGGTGTTTCCTGATTGGAAAAAGATTTACTTGGCACTCATATGACCTTATGCAGTTGGGAGCTCCGTAAAACCTTACTAAAATTAAACTAAAGATTTTGAACTGGTCAAAAAGATCTGGTCAGTACAAAAGTGTTGTGTATCAGAGCAGATTGGAGTTGTAATGTATACCAAACTGTCGGAATTTGGTGCATATAAATTTTGTACCCTATAGGTCAATGCGACATAGTGTGTGAGTAGTACTTTTGTCTCTCCTTCTGAAGGATGTTATGAGTGAAATGAAAGGTTCATCCTCAAAGTTTACATTTAGTGGGTGGTATTTACTTTATGGAGATACTGGTACTCGTTCTCTTTTTTAAATAAAAAAAAAAAAAGGAATGGTCTGTAACTGGGCTTTCAAAATTTCAACCTTCTCTTGTGAAACCAGTGCTGATAGTTGGAGGAAAAGAATTAGTGTGTGTGCCCAAAGAAAGGTACCAAAAGTCGCCAAAGACCATTTAGAGCTACAGGCTGATAATGGCAAAAAATCACTTTTTTTTTTTTACCGAAATATGTTTCCTTAAAAAAATGATAGTTCTTCCTTTTTTTAACATTGATTTGACTTCTAAATATTTTATTTTGAATTATTTTGAGGGTAGGGTAGTTTTAAAAATATAATGAAAACTGCTTTTAAAAGGTATTAAAATCTATTCTTGAAGCTCGTTTTCTCTTCCCCGCTATGTTTTACCGTTGAATTCTTATCATGATATTGATGTCAACTGAATGCCGAATTGGAAACGAATTTTCAATGAATAAATACATTAGAAACTATTGTATCATCGTTTTTTTCTAGTTTGTATGTGTTCTAAACTTAAAAGCTAATATTCTCAAAATTAGATCTTTATACCCTACCTCGCAAAATGTGCAATATCTCAAACTACTTGGGATATCTAAAAAATTGAAAAGCCACTGTGTTCAGCATTGAATGTCGTATTATGTACAACCCGTAACTCAAAATGGTTAAAATCCGATTTTTGGTACCTTTGTTTAGGCACACACACATTTATTCTGTACAGCAGCTCTGTGTCAAGAGGTTCGTACAGTGAGTTGTTGAAGTCATATTATTGTTATGGAGACATTTGTTTTGGTAATGTCATCCCCACTGGCATGACAGTTTGCAGGTTTTTTTCCCCTCTTCTGATTGAAGGTCCTTTCGTTTTCCTCAGAGATGAAGATGACAGTGGAGATGCCAAGAAGCAAAAGGCAGAGAAAAATTCAGCAAATGGAGTCACAGCAGCAGCAGTATCAACGCCAAAAAGGTAATGTCTGTCTTTTGGAAAGTTTTTTGTCTTTAAACGTAAAAAAAAAAAAATCAAATTGTAATTGAGAGAATATGAAACAAGTTATTTTTTATGCTTGTCACTGGAAGCTGTATAATTGATTCTGAGTTGAAAACATGAATAAGTATGATTTGTTATGCTTTCCTTGTTGTTTAGGAGTCGAGGGATACATTATGTTGAGCAGGGTGACTGCCAGGCCTCGGGAATTTGATAAAAATCACAGAGACCCGGGAATTTGAGGAAATCTGTAAATTGCCGCGAGAAAGACCCGGGAAAATACATAACAGTTCTCAAACATTTTGAAAACCAAGTTGGATAACGTCCTTGGGTTCATTTTTGCCGGTTGCGATTGTGATATTCATTCGGCTTTTCCCAGTCTGAGAGTACATTTCACGCGAAAAGTGGGCTATGGCAGCAAGCGGAAGTGTATGTGTGATACCGAAGCTCGATCTACTTTCATTTTCATTACTACCCAGAAATTTGTCGGTAGCTGTCTGATTAACACAACATTTGTAACTTGCAGGTTATGCATTACAAAGCTGTGTCGCCATGAAAATAAATCAATATTTGTCCTGTGCTGTTACTTGCGGGGAAAAAAAAGAAAGGTGTTGGGCTCGCCATCGTGACCAGTCAGTGAACCTGCAGGTTCACATCACATTGTGAGTACAGGTGATCATTGGAGTCACGAAAGTTCATTCGTCTTGAGCGCTGCGAAGTATAGGGCTCCGGAACGGGGGGAATTATTGATTTTTTTTAAAGATATAGTCGGGGGAGGGGTGGTGCTGAAGGCAACACTGGATGACAGACACTGAACTTGGAGGAAAATTTTAGAATTTAGAATTTTTATTATTACTAGAGCTTTCTGCAAAGTGTGCATTGGTGCAGGCCTTGTGTGGAATTGGGATCCGTCATACTCATATCTTGTAAGCTGTGTTTTTTAACCTAAAGCTTCGCGTTTCATTGGATGGGTGATAGTATGTTTGTTTCATTGTCTTTGGGTTTTTTTTCTCTTTCTCTCTCTATTTGTCTCTTTTTTTCTGTCTCTCGTGATAGTTAATTACATGTATTGTCTATATTTTAGCTTTTTATTCAAGATTCACAGATTTTCAGTGTCACTGCATCTTGTCCTCCCACAGTTCTTACACCTCCCTCACTGAATAGATCTACTTTAGCCATTTAAGTTATTACTCTGCTTTGAGTTTGAGCAATAATTTTTGTTTTTTACGTTTATTAAATAAATCTTGACACCCAAGCTGGTTCTTGACAGTCAATGTTCTGGTTCTAGGCCTTTTCTCAGGCTCAAAACAAGGCTCATTTTTATATAGTTTATATAGGCGAATATGATGAGGGGAAAATAAGTAAGAACAGACTGAGATACGCAAGTCACACAGTATCTCAGTGCCACGCTGACATGTTGTTGACTGGATAGCTGACATGTTGTTGACTGGATATAATGTCTACATGCGTGTGTGTATGTGTGTGTGTGTGTATAAATGGAGCATGCACTGTCATTGTTATGTAGCATGCCCCTGGAAAATGGATGAGCCCCACTGGAAAATTGAGAAGCGGGGGTGGCAGTCACCCTGGTTGAGGCATATATAATAGGGACTATGTCAAAAATGACAATAAGGGTAGCGGTTCATTTTGAATAAGTTCAACAAGTTGACTATGGTGTCTATTAATCTTTTTCTGGGGACCCTGAGAAGGCTGCTTACTGTGTCATCTGAAAGTCTCATAAGTTTTTATTTCACATCTCTGAAATATCCTGTCAAAAGTCATATGAAATCAAATGAACCATAAAGTTTGGGCTATTTAGCGCACCTATACACAAGCAGCACCCACTACATTTATAAAAGATGTGAACTTTTTTCACAAATGAGCCGGGCCAGATTATACCTCACAGATATATATGTATGTCAGTGTCATCATATTCGTGTCCGCTGAAATCTTTTTCTTATGCGTCAGAGTTAACTCACTTCAGACGGTTCACACAACAGTTGCGTGACCCCCGCTGCGATGCTCGCGACGGCTCCCACAAGCCCCGCGTGACCAACTTTGGAATTTTTTTTCCGCTCTACAAATCACGCACGGATCACGAGACCCGCCTCGTACCCTTGTTTGGCCAAGCCTGAGCTACTTAGACTTCGTTTCATATCTCTGGGGCCGGTAGTTTTTAAGTTATTGAAGGTGAAGGACAGTGACCCCAACTGGGGTTGAACAGACCGGAACTCGCGCTTTGTTTTTTTTCTGTACAGCTGATAGTAATCCGACAGTCGCGTCGTAGTAACGGTCGAAGAAGTCGCATGAACAAGAATCACATAATTTCGCCGTTTTCTATACTTCTGTACGTTTTACTAGTTCTAGTGTCTCAGAATATGTGTCTAATAGTTAGGATCCTGGATATGTACCCGAGCACGACCTGAGTCGTAGTTCTAGGGTTAGATCTAGCACTAGTACTGGTGGTAATTTTCGCGCAACGAAATCACAACGTCGTGCCGTACATCTGTCTCATGTAATTCAGTGTATGGGTCTGAATCAATGCACAGACCAGCTTTTATATTTCCACCAAACACTCGCACATGTATACAAATCAAACCAGAACACGTTGAACTTTTATTTTTGTTGTTGTAGTGAATGTCATTCTACTTATCACGTCTCTGGAAATTTTTCGGAAAATCAAATTCATGTCAATTTTTAAAAAATCATACAAATTAAAGTATTAGACTTAGACAACTTTAGTTTTTTGTATTAGATTAAGCTTGAATGTTACTTTACTGTGTCAAAAAATAATTACAATAGGGTAATTCTGAGAGTTGTTGTGATTTATTGAAATACCCCAAAAATGCCAGTTTTCAACGCTTGTGACTGGTGATAGGGTCCAGTCGCAAGTGAGTTAGACATATCGAGGAGTGCTTCCTCTGCCATTCGCAGATTTTTACCCTAAGGCCGTTTAGACCTCTCCATGGGAGTCTTGAAAAGTACCCACCTGTCTGTTGGACCGTGTTTCTTAGGCGTACGCTAAAGTGAGGTGTTGAGATGTCAACTTTTTAATGTTTTAGATGTATGCTAAGAATACAAAGGAGTACGAAAGAGAATCACCAAAGCAGTGGGGCAGTATGAAGATCTACTGATTACTGTGAAGAGACGAAAATTAAAATGGTATGGGCATGTCACAAGATCCACAGGACTTGCCAAAACAATCCTGCAAGGAACTGTACAAGGAAAGAGAAAGAGAGGAAGGCAGAGAGGGAGATGGGAGGACAACATTACAGAGTGGACAGGAAAGACAATGGGTGACAATCTGAGGAAAGCAGAGGACAAACATAGATGGCGAGAGCTGGTTTTCAGATGCAGTGGTGCCCCCACGGTTGCCCCAACCACGGGATAGAAGAAGAAGAATAGACAATGAAGTGATGCTCCTGCAATCAGAGAAAGTCCGCAAATAAACTGTAGGGTTTAAATCTGAGGGGAAAGGTCGCAGCTTATAGCCCAAACTTAACAGTAGTCCAAAATTGTAACAGTATGCGCATCCATTGTTTGTGTAGTCATGGAAACTCTAAAAGGCAAGTGTGGATGGGCACTCACAAATACGTATTTCACAATACTTGTAGACACAAAGCTGTTATGTACATTCAGTGTGATATGAATATGAGGGTATTAATCTCGCAATGTGATGAAACATTCTAGATATGTTTTTTTTCCTCCTCAGTACGGGTAGCAATGAAGCAGGAGCTGACACTGCAACCTCGGAGAATGTCATTCTGATCACACAGCTGAGGGAGCAAATTGAGAGTCTAAAGAAACTAATGAATGGAAAAGATCAACAACTTTTGGAGAAGGATAAGAAGGTAGGCATTATCGAGAGTTTTCATTTCAGTAATACAAGTCCTGATAAAATCTGATGTGAAGGAGGTTTTTTTTTTGTGTGTGTGAATTTCTCATTCTTCTGTGCTGCTCAGGCTTAGAATCGTTCATGTCTTGAGCCATGTTGACAAAATCTTTATTTTGAGCTGTTGCCTGTGATTTGCTTAGCAATAGTGTTTTCTTCTTTGTGTAAAATTATTAGATAAATAAACTGTTGACTTTTTTTGAGTGTTTAGCTGAATGTATTTGACACTTTTATCTTTCTCTGATTGGATTGGCTAGGCATTTTATTTCATGTCAAGTGCAACTAGGTTGTCGTTCGGCATGAATTTTGAAAAAGCTCTCTTTGTTTTAGATTACAGAACTGAAAGCACAAATGTATGAACTTGACAAGGACTTTAGAGCGAAAAATCAAGCATCAATTCGATCCCATGCGACATCGATAGAAAATTTGCAGGTAAGTCCTCTTGAGAAACTTTTAATTTTACTTCCCCATAACACTGTTGTTAGACGCTGTTACATGCTGCATCCACCATCTTGATATTTTTTACTATGTTTAGATGAGGGATGAGATGTATTGGTTAATATTTTGCATTGTGGAGTAGTATGTAACTACAGGAGACTTTTGAAGTTGCTGAAGGTAATCTTGCCTCAGTCAGTTTCCTGCTGGTCTATGTACACTGCTTAATGGGTTCTGAGTAATAATGTAGAAGTCTGACTAGTTTTACTTACTTCGTTGTTAGGGAGTTGGATCCTTTTTCATGTTAAAACATTCATATTGATTTCTTATTTGCTTCTTTTATCCTATTGTTATTTATTTGATATATCAGAAAGCATACGAAGTCGCAGGGACATTATGCGACATTATTAAAACTTGGATGGGATACTTGGTATGGACACTTACCCTAACAATACTAGTTGACCTATGTCCTTACAAGATTGCTGTCCTTTTGCCTTAAATGTGTTGTCAATAAAAATAAAGCCATCTTGTATTGAAGCAACCTCATTAAAATGTATGTTCCACCAAGATCTTTAAGATCAGGAGATCGGTCTATGAGAACCCTTTAGAGGGGAGGTCAAAAACTCCATGGGAGGTCCTTTTCTCATCTTGTACCATCCTTCTGGAACTCTTTCCCACAACATATAAGGGATACAAAGTCGGAGGCAAAATATAAAATTTATTTAAAAGTGAATTTCATGAAATGACAGCTTGATAAATAGTCCTTCTTATTCATAGTACTCCTATATTCAAAATGTGATGTGCACATCATCATCGATTGTGCTGTGATAGTATCAATGGCTGCTTACATGTTGGCATTAATCTAAAGAGCATATGCACATCAAAGAAAATTGATTTTTTTGTTAAGATAAAGGCATTATAAAGGGCCAAGAGCTGTATTGTATGAAAGTAGGTGCTCTGAAAATGATATGCATTATTCTCATTGCCATTTCGTCCTACAAGGAACAGATAAGTACATATACAATCATTTTCTTTCTCATTTTCTGTTCATCAGATTAAGAATCGGGAACTCACTCGTCAAGTTGCTTCCCTTTCGAAAGGCAAAAAGACCTCTGACACTTCATCTCTGAATTTATCGACCTGAAAGCTGCATTGCCATGTCATTGATTGAATCTGTTTTCATTTCTGTCTCTGTATTGTATTTACCCGGTCTGACGTTTTTAATGCTTGCTGAAGGTGTTTTACCCTTGATTTATTCTGTTTGATTGTAATTTCTCACTCACCCCCCACCCCACCCCCCTTCTCTCTAAATAACTAGCAGAAGCATGCTCTGACTTACACTTGTCCTTTTTTTAAAAAGTTAATACAGTCGGGCACAGATAACACACACACGCAGATAACTCAAAGTCATGGATAGTTTGTATAATATGCTACTCCCTGACTGAACCACTATATTTTCTTTGTATTGACAACTCTGATTTTTCAAACACCCGCACAGATTTGTCAAACAGCTTGTTTGGAAAAATCCAATTAAGTTTTTCCTCACAAATGTCTCAAATTCAAATCGCCCTGCGCACATAACGGAAAACAACACACCCATCGTCATTGAGCATGTCAGGTTATGAGCCCATTTGGCAAGCTCCTGCTGTGCTGGTAGCCTATGGAGACAAATCTTCGCACATTACCTGTAGTGTGCGTAAGGCACTAGAACTTCCTTGAATTTAGTCATGTTAAGGTGGGTGCTGGATGGTGGGGTGTGGCTGAGGACAGATGTGGTGGTGCTTTGGGCTGTATGGTGTGTGAATTATGTTTGTGTACAATTGTGAGTTTATGTGTGCATATGGTTATTTGAATGTGAAGGAATGGATTGGGAAGTGAACATCTGTCCCATTGCTAGCAGTGGCTGATGCTGTGCTGGAGTCAAAATCAAATAGGTAATGACATTTTGCCAAGGGCCTGCGCTTCGTGTAAATAATCATCCCTAGTTTGATTGTAGCATATTTGAATAGAACACGTGTTGTCAATCTTGATGACCTGTTATAATGGCATGAGGCATACCATTATCACTTATCATCCTATCATGAGTCTCAAGATCTACGCTTATTCACACCTTGGTGTTATCCTGTCAAGGACAAACATTTTACCTTTTCATCGGGATTTACAACGGACATGTGATCACTTTCACGAGAGTGGCTGATCTGTGACACAGCAGGCCGATCTCTAGTCTCATTCTAATTCTAATGACTTAAGAAGATGAAACCTGAAAGAAATTTGGCCTTGACTTCACATGCAACTCACAATTGTTGGACAGGTTCTAAAAGTAACACATCACTATCACTTGAACAGCTTTGTGCTGTAAATCATGATCATTTTATCATCACAATTACCAATCCTTGCCTTCATTTTCTTCTCTATCTCTTTAATTTTTCATTTTATCGGTAAACTGGTTTTCTTGAATTATGGATGTGTCGAACACATTTGTCAATCCCTGATGTGGTTAGAGTTATCTGTGCTGTGCCCAGCTGTAATTATTTGTATCGATCTCTAAAAATAGTTTCTTAAAATGTATTGCGAGCAGTCAAGAATATAGGTGCAGACCTTTGTGACATTCTCTGATGTAAGTTGTGCTTTGGGACATAAGTCTGTAAGCAAACCATTCATCGTAAACATAAAATGTTGACTGTTGTTTGTATGTTCATATAGCCCATGTTTATGAAAACTCATAAAATTTTCTGCATTTAGGTGCTTTCAAAGACTGTAGAATTTAATACTAGATCTTGCTTTTTTAAGTCTAGAACACTCAATAATGTTGACTTTTTTTTTCATTCAGAAGTTCGATATGTTCTGAAAACGAATATTTAGTAAATACTCCATCATTGTTCAGTAGTAGTTCTGAAATGGCTTGCTCCTTTTTGTGCATAAATAAAACTGTTAACCAAACACACTTTACATGCATGTTTGGAAAGTTCTGTGGTAGGTTCAAGTTCTTTAATATTTAGTTATTGTGTTCAGTATGATAATTTATCAATGTGTTATATTCATGTTAAGGCTGACAGTTCTCAGAATGGTTGCTTTTACTCAAGGTTGTTGTATCAAAAATTTGAGTACACTTTTTAACATTACATTAATGATTAATGTTTGATCTCGTTATTAAAATAATCAATGTTACACATCTAATCAGGTTCTTCTTATTGAAATGTCAAGTTCATGTCTAATGTGATCTGAAGGATTCTTGTTTCCTTTGTGCTTTTTATGCCAGGGGCTTTGTGAGCCTTGAGACACGATGCTCGCCTCTCAATGTAAAGTATTCAGTTCAGTTCCTGGTCCATGCAGGCATGGTAAAAATTTGGAATTTAAGTAGTCCCCTGAGATAAGATAAAAACTATGTGAGGTCTTGTATGCTTATTTATTGTGCATGTCAAAGTCACTGTGGCAGTGAACTAAAAAAGGGCAGGTAGGCTGCACATTGTGAAGTGAGGGTCCTTTACTGCTGCTCGGAGATGGGGTCATGTTTTAATAAACTGTTGCATTTTGGAATATCCTGCAATCTTCAAGTAGTATCCCCTATTTCAGGCTGAGTACACCAAATACATAATATGATAATATTCTCATTTACATACTTTGTAGATGCTATGGGGTCAGTATTGTAAACAAAGCAAAGTCTAGCCTCTGCTTTCATTCTTTTTATGTTTAGGCTATAAAAGAACCTTTAAAATAAGCCTAAAAGGGTAGTGACATCATGTCAAACATAAGGAGACAGTTTTTATGTTTTGTCTTGAATTTTTTGTATAAATTGTTTCTTGTCCTACATGTGTTCTTGTTATAGATCTCTTGTCATGTATTGTTCTTTTTTACATTTTTAGAGAACACTGGAAATATATGAATATTGGAATAAAGTTTAACTTTGACCTAGCACGCTTAATATGTGCTGTTTTATTTCAATAGCAGAAAGAAAATTTGGCAGGATTTCCTGTTTTTGTAAATATAGCATCATGTTTAGAGTAATACCATTTTTTATACAGTTCGAGCCTTGTTTGTATGAGAGTCATCTCTTGTCAACTTTTCCATTCGTCTTTTGATTCCATATTTTGTTCAAATCAAAGGCTTAAATCTTAATCAAATGCTAATCTTTTTTTTAGAGTTATTGCTTCATAATATTTATATGGCACAAATGTAAACTTTGTACAGAGGAAGAGGGTAGTGGATGCGATTTCCTCTTGCTATCTTGACAATATATTGTATAGAGGGATAGCATCTGCTTTTTTGAACTTGAATAATTCTTGTTTTTATTTGGAGATGCAAAATATGTAGATATTGATTGGTAGTTTTGACATGTATGCTTTATTTTAACATTAGAGATACAAGATGTAATTTGCACGTCAATCTTTCTGACTCCATAATTGTTGTAATTGCAATGACTGAAGAAAACCTCAAGCACTGTGTTTTTGTGAGGAGATGTTTTACTGTTAATAAAATGGTCATTCTGAATTGCACTGTGAGTGAATGTGGTTTTCTATCAATTCAGAAGTGTTTGACCCATGTTTTGGTATGTTAATTGCTATTTTTAAAGAGAATTCAGAGACAAATTTGAAAGTTCGTAAGTTGTGGTGTTCAGGTTGGTGCTTTTCAGATTTTACAATAGTTGGTCTGCTTTGACAGCATTTTTTAAATTGTGACTTGGCTTGATTTTGTGCTTGCCTTTGGAAAAAGTTCACAGTTAATTATCTACTATGGGAAAATATGGATTAAAGGGATTGTTTTTTATGAGAATATTTTCTCACTGTTGAAAATTTGCTTTTTATGTCTTGTAGTTCTTGTAGTTTTAGTAGATTTTTGTTTTGAGTGTCACAGTATTGTCGTTGGCACTTGTTGTACCACTGACGTTTGCCTTCAGAGAGAGTGACAGGAATTTTTATCAATAGGTTCACACTTAGTCTTCAAACCACTGATCTGCATCTCACAAGACTAGTTTCCATACCACTGATTTGCTGCTGATGTTTACATTGCAACTTTTGCATTAAGTCATTAAGTCTAATCACTTTGCTTCATCATATGGAACTAAAAACCTGAAATTCTAGTGAGGTTGTAACATATTTTAAGCTGTCAACAATGAGTTGTTGGTCGATTTCATAATGATTTTGTATCGGGTCAGATTTCAGTTACCTTAGTATTTAAAAAAATATTTTCCATGAGGTGAACTGGGGATGGTGATGCTGGTGTCTTCATTGATTTTTTGCAAACTTTTATTGTAGAGTATGTAGGTCTGTAGGTGGGTTGTTGTTTCTTTTTCACTGCTGGAGTTTTTTAAAAAAAATACATTTCCTCATAGGGGAAAGTTCTAAAATATTAATTCAAAGGGTACTTTGGTGATTTAAAAAAAAATTCTTTTGGGAAAATTAATTAGCAGCTTTATTATTTCAAAGACTATTTTATTTTAGTCTATTTTATGTTCAATTGTAAGTCAGTTTTGAAAATTTGGTGCTAGCTGGTATCAAACTTTTTTTTCACCTAATGTTTAAAAATCAGTACCAATAATTTTGTACATACTCTAACTCTAAGGTAGAAAAATTGAGGATTCATTAGGGAGAATAAGTGTTAAAATGTTTTCCACGATACTTTCTTTAAAGTGTATGGTTGATAACTTATAGGAACCACACATGGCAAAGAGCTTGAGAGGGTCCTTAACTTATACTTATTTGGTTGTAGACAGTAAATTTTGAGCTTGAACTTTAATTCAAATTTCAAAAGGTGCTGTTTTCTAAAGAATATGTCATAATTTTTTGCAATTCTGTTTACGTCAGTCTCAGTTATATTTGATGGACAAATTCATATTCTTGTAGTCTCTTATTAAATGTAACCTGGCAAACCACATATATGTAAACTTAAATAAGATAGAATTTTAAATCTTGCATCAGACATGTTTCCATAGCAGTATCCACCAGTACTCAATGCAGGGATGCTGTGCATGTCTTTGCTGCTTCTGTAAGTTCTGAAGTGTACTTGTTATTTTACTATACCCCTCTGAGGAATGATATAATGTTATAAGCAGGTAAATGTTTTCCTTAACACTTTGCCCCCACGGGACGCCAATCGGCGCCAGTGTGATATAGGGTGTACCTCACCTGTATCCTGGTCCGTGGGGATAAATGTTGCTGTGTGGCTGGAAAGTGTTAAGGGTAAAATAAAAGCACAATATAAGACAAAACACTGTTATAAAACAAAAGGTAAGTATGGAGCACCTGCGACTGTAATTGATAAGTTAGAGTTTGTGCAATAAAATATAGTTTTTTTAAACACAAAGGCTTCTTAGTGTGCTTCATGGCGCTGCTTGATGTACATGGATATATGACTTTCTGTTGGTGCAGCAAAATAGTCCCAGTCTCCTTATGTCCTTGCTACTTGTCTGTCTTGTTAATTGGTAAAAAGTAAAAGCAAAACGTAATAGTATAGTAACATGAACTTACTGCTTTCCAAAATCGATGTACAGAAAAGTGGGAAGACATGGAATAACATCAAGAGGCTAGCCCAGGATAGAGAAAGGTGGAAGGTGTTTGTCCGTGGTCTATACCCTGGTGCAGGGTGAGAAAGGCAATGATAATGATGTTGCTTTCCAAAACTACTGTTGAAATATATCACTATGACAACAGGATTTGTACAGTTGAGCACAGATAACATAAACACTGAGTTTGTACAATTTTCCATTTTCCTACTGATACTGTATCTTTTTCATTTTTCTCTATATATTGATTAACCCGAATTATGGATGTGTAGAACACATCAGTAAATCCCTAAGGTGTTATCTGATCTGTGCCAAACTGTATTCTTATTTTTAAAAACCAGGAGTGCTGTTGTTCTGTGACAGTCAGGACGTGTGCACTTTCTTGGTATTAACAGGCTTTTTTTTTTTTTTTAAATCATGAATAATGGACCACTCTAATTTTTCTATCTGTGCTATTTTAATACTAAAAATAACTTTGGAAAGTTATCTGCTTTTATTTTGGAGAGGTTTCGACGATTCCTTACAGTGGAAAAAATATAGTTAATGAGTACTTGTGCGTTCATTGTCATTTTTGGCCTCTGACTTGGCTCCAAATTTTGACCCTTTTGACACAAATGTCTTTTTCCAATTGGTGGTATATATGCAGAATTGAGTTGTATTTCTTAAACTCAAAGGGAAGAAACTGTCTGCTATTATTAGTTATTAGACAGCTAATGTTTTCCAACCTGTACCTGTTTGTGTTGTAGGGAACCATTTTAAAAATGCCATAAATATGAAGAATTGTACTCCCAGAAATTTGATTACAAGAAAAAAAACTTTAACAGCCCCGCCCTTATAATATTGACAAAATGAGAAGAGATCTGAGCTGGTGTTCACACCTGTTGCCAATATGGTCAGCATTATTTAAATGTAATAGTAATAGAAATATTCAGACTAATGATAGGGGGCTCTCATGGTCTAGAGGTTAAGATGTTGGCCTCTCGTTCTGTAGGTCGTGGGTTTGAATCCGGATAGCAACGGAACATCCTTTCCTGCCTTCTATTACTTCTAACAATGTTCTGTCATCTGCGTTTGTCTCCACTTTCTGCCCCCACCACCTCACCTCCTTTGCCCCCTCTGGGCTCCTAACTCTTTCTGCAGCCTTTCTACTGCTACTCCCTGGCTTCTTCTTACTGCTGTGTTTCAGCCACACCCCTGATCTTATGGTAGGAAAGATCTACACCTAGCCTTCTTGGACAAGGGCGAAAAATCTCGGAGGTCCCGTGTGCAAGTTGCGCACGTTAAAGATCCCTTTGTGGTCCAAAAAAGATAAGAGTAGACTTAGACTTCGCCTGCCTGCAGAGCAAAATTCAAAATTTCCTACCAACTGAAAATGGTCGCTTTTAAGGACAAGCGGGCTAACCCAGATTTCAGGGGTTTCCTATCCAGAAATATTGACCCACACCAAAAGTGGGCATTGCCCTATATATAGAAGTTTGGTTTCATTGGTGTGTATATTCGTTTGGTTATAGAATAAACTCCTTGTCTTTTAAAGAAGGCAGCCAGTATTTTCACTGGAAAAAAAATTTACGCGCATTTTCACGACTTGTTTTTCTCTTTGGACAAATCTGTAAACAGTTGGTTCAAGCCAGAGGTGTATATCTCTCGATAAGAATGGCAGATGGGAATCCCCATCCCTTTGAAGTGGGACGAATTTTTAAAGCATATCGTGAGTTTGAGGAAGAATTTCGGAAATACTGCGGTACAAAGTATGTTTTCAGCAAAAAGTCCTCGAAATCAGTCACCGCCAAGAACAACACAATCAAAGACGAATCGAAACGCTACCCGGTGGGAGTGGCAGTACTGTTTGTGTTCTTGTCTTTTTATTGAAGATGGCATTTTTCCATTGCCACTATTATTCAATTTGTCATTGCATCTTTTACACAGTAGGCTATGCAAATCCGGGAACATCAATCCTGACAGTATGATCACCAATCCTATAGATTCTGCTCTAATTTTCCACCGTTTTTTTTTACACGTTTAATTGTGGAATGCCAAAACCAGAGCATAATTTCACTTATAACTAAAAATAAATCTTTATTTTGGCAGCCTTTGTTTTCACCGCCGAGCCGCGCAGAGGGACAATGGTCGAGTGCGCACAAATAGGCCTATAACTTACTGCCGAGGGTGAGATTCTAGATCTACGGCCCGAGAAGCAAGAAAACAAGTGTGCCCCCCCCCCCCCCCCCCCTCCTTTTCTCTCTCTGTCTGTCGGGATGTAGATCTAGGCTACGGGTTTGGCAAAGGAAGGTTGGAGTTGGAAGCACTCTCTGCAATCGTATCGCAAGTCCGGTGGTTTTGACACCTTATCGGAATGGCGTTAGAACAAGTTCTAAATCGGAATCAAGATCTAGATCTACCAAGAATAAATTGTTTAGAAAATATAGACCTCTGCGGTAAGAGCCGGTAGATCTATGTCTTTGACAGGTCGTGAAAATGCGCATAAAATTTTTTTTTTCACAACAGAGGGTGTACTTTATTTTTCCATGACATGTCGTGAAAATACCGGCTGCCTGTAAAGAAACTGAATAAGGGGCAAAAACTTTACCTTCAATTTTCTCAAAACAGCAATTTTCGGGATAGCCCCCTTGTGCTTAAAAGCGACCAAATGTTTAATGTCTCCCGAACGCTCATATGACCGTATGCAGTTGCGAGCACCGTAACACCCCCCCCCCCCCCTCTCAAAAAAAAAAAAAGACTAATGATGAGCTTCTCTTTGCTCAAACTAAACATCACAATTGTGCAGAGGGTCCCTTGAGTTTTTTTTAAAAGATGCAACCTGGGAAATGGAACAAGTGCTGTCACTGTCCAGCATATAAATCAATTATATCATTTTCTTTGACTCTTTCTCCGCAAGTTTTAAAAATACTATCTCAAAAAGTATTTGGCAAATTAATGAAGACCCGAAATAATAATAAATCAGTAAAAGTGAAAGAAATATTTTGCTTTCTCATGATTTTATTTTTATGAAAACACCATAAACAAAAGAAAACAGTTAAAGGTATAACAAACAAATAAATCAGCCTTCAACATCAAATTAGAAAAAAAAACAACCCTGTGACTTCACTGACAGGCAAAGAGAAATTTTTTTAATGCACTCACACGAAACGGAGATACTTGCATGCAACAGATATATATGTGACAGGCTGATATAAGTGAGCAAAATAAATTAACAATTCAACCAGTTTGTACTGAGTTTCTGAAAAGCATGAGGGGTTTGTTCTAATTCATTGGGGCAAAATGAAAGTTATTTGTTGACAGTTATTGGTAAATGAATCCTCCAAATCCTGGTGTTGACGTCTTGCATCGAACACTTATGTCTGTGTATGCTTATTGCTTTCAGGAAAGTAGGAGATGAGAGTACTCTTGTCTCAGTGGCGGCTGTGAATGCTTTCCTCGTGCTGATCCATTATTTCAAGATCAAGCACTGTTAGTAGTGTTTATCACTATCTTACCCCTCAAATGGCCATTGGAGACTTTTTCAAAGGCTGCAGGGACTTCAAGAAATGGAAACACTTCTTGAACAATTGGTTTGATCTGAAAGAAGGGAGGAACAGAACAAAAAATAACAAGCTTGAAAACAAATTGACCCTTCAAAATATTTCTTTAAAATTATTAGGGGAGAAATGCTATTCAAAGACATACGAACGAGAGTTTTTCTTCTTGTTCTTTTTTAAAATTATTTTTTTTTTTTTTTTAAATCAAGACAATGGAGGAGAAAAGACAGCAGAAATTTATTGCACTTGGGAACAAAAGCAGAAATGCTGGGTTAAAACTACTCCTCAAAGACCTAGAGAAGACAGACAAGAAAATAAACAACCCCAAAATGGCCCATGAACATAATTTTACTTGAGTTCATCAATATATGCTCTGTGGGTTACTTCACCCCACCTGATCTGACAGTGAATTATAATTCAAACACCGCTACACAAGTCCTTGATGCTAGTGCTCTGCATCTAATTTTTAAAAAAAGTAATACAGATGCAACTTAGAGATGACAAAGCGATAGAAAAATATTTTCTGGGGGAGTTAAAGTAAAACTAAAAACAATGACAGAGTAGTTAGAGGCCAGGTGACCAATTTTCGTCTACATTCAAAGCTCCGCTTTATAAAATATACAGAGTTACCTACCTTTATCCTCTGAAATATACCATGAGTTGTCTACCTTGTAAATTTGGTTTTGTTACCTCCCTTAGAAAATTCTCCTTGACAACAAATATCCCGTATTCTCTATTCTCATACCACTAATTCTTCCAAATTTTTCTCATAACATTGTTGCCCTACACTAGGAGCATGCTAAATTATAGAAATATAACCCTTTTTGACATCAATAACATTATGCCGTAGGAGTTTTGCTCTTTAAAAAACAGCTCTAATAACTTTAAGGACCATTAGAGTTTTAAAAATACTTAATGTTAATAGTTCTACATATAACTCATGCCTTAAACTAATGAGTAAGGAAAATAACGAGCCCGGGTAACGACGGGCTCCCAGACTACCGTTCTGGAAGAATTTCTACAGGGGCACAGGTCGCCCCCATGGTGACCCACCTACTTCGTGGGATGCCTGGGTTGAGTGATCTGCCCTCAAATTTAAACAAGTGACTGGGATTGAAGCCAAAGAACATGCAGCCTGTTTGGTTTAAGTAGGGTAGAGTCGGGTAACTTCGCCACCCCCGTTCACCCTCTCTTAAATACATTGGAATATCCTATCCTCTCTACTCTAATTAGGCAAACATTTTATGCCAATGAGAAGCAGGGATCCTTGGCTTAATCTATATAACTAATCACAGCCTTTGTTACAGTTTTGACGTCACTATCGTGATGTCATACGCGTCTCTTCGTCGTCAGCTCTACAATTCGCATCCCTTTCTATAAATCTTCTTCATAGAGCTTACACATCTTAACCCTACTCATTCTGCTTTTAATTCTTATTTGACTGACTATCATCTATATTTTCTATATTCTTCCCTTGATTCCTTTTATTTAACTGCTCTATTATCTCTATGTAAAGGTCTTTAATAGTTATTTCAATCAATTTAATTAAATAAATACCTTTGACTAAGGTTACCTATCGTCG